GAGAGGAGAGGAGAGGAGAGGAGAGGAGAGGAGAGGAGAGGAGAGGAAAAAGGGAAGAGAAGGAAAGGGAAAAGGAAGGGGAAAGGGAAAGGGAAAGGGAAAGGGAAAGGGAAAGACTATTGCACTGTATTAGGCGATGCCATTTTTAGCCTTTGTGAAACAAATGAGTTGTAGGAGAGAGAGAGGTTGCTGTTTCTTTAATCTCTGGGTTCAGACAGCCAATTCAGACCCGATCCACGTGGAAATGTGCAGCCCATTTCTGCAGATAGGACGATGGGGAAGAGAGGCCAAAGCGATCCCAGCAGTCAGCAGTGATTTATGAGGCACTCTGTAAAGAGCAGAGGAAACTCAGGCTGTTAGCTTTGATATTTAGAGATGATAAACAACATGAAAAGGAGATTTTTTTAATGCCTCTACACAATTGCATAACAAGTAATGTAGGTTTAAATTAAGAATAGAATAATATAGCCCTCATAATAGGGGGAAACTTCCTGGCAGAGGCATCTGCTGCAAACAGATCTGTGCTACAAATCTTGTGGTACTGCAAATCCCATGCCCTGATCCACTGAAAGCAGAGCACAGACCCGAGCAGCTCTGCTCCAGTAGCAGACGGTGCCTGTTGGTTCTCCACATCTTCCCAACTGCCCCATCCAGCAGGTGGCCTGCTGCCTGTGTCTTCCCTTTTCCACCTGGAGACGTGGGGGAAAAGGATGTTTTCCTATTTCCTACGATGCTTCCTGCCCACAGGCAGTGGTGCTTTACCCACGTCCCCACGAGCCACTGCCACTTGGCTGCGTTTTGTCCCTTCGCCTGCAATCACTATAATTAATTCCTAAAACACAGCAATTATTTAAGAAGCATGGCAGAACCGACGCAAACTGCCACATCACACAGCAGGCTCTCAGAGCCCGGGTGTGCAAGGGGACCCTGGATCCAGGCAGCACACAAACAGCACTGACAGCCCCAAACCCGTGCAAACACAAAGCCTCCTTAATTACTGCTCCCGCTGCAGCCTGCTAATTTGTGGATACCAATGTCTTCCAGCAGAGCCCCTGTGATCTGCTTGGTAATTGGGATGCTTGCAACAAGCTGGGAGGAAGAAACCAAAAGGAGTATTTTCTGTTTGTTTTTTTTTTTACTTCTCCTACATTCTCCAGTAATCTTTAATCACAGTGTCTGTAAAGGTTGAGTGTATTCCTCGTTAGCCTCCAGACCATCATCTTCAGGAGACTGTGAAGTCCTTGAGATCTAAGGGAAGGGGGAGGTATTGCACGAAGTGGGTGGAAGAAGCGTGAACAACCCAAACACCGTTGGATCTTCCTGCAGGAAACTGCAGGACAGTTTTGTGGGTCATTCATATGGGCTAACCTGGAGGGACACGTAAGCCCTAGAGGACATCTGGGGCAGACAGCTCCTGGGGAAGCCAGAATAGCTTCTGTGGGGAGAAATAGCCTTTCCCAGAAGGCTTGGTGCAAAATACTGCTTCTCCTTCTGCATTTTGAAAATTAGCATCAACATCAGCGTTGCTGAGAGAAAGAGTAGCGGGTAAAAAGAAGCGTGTGTCAGTAAGCGAGATGTTTCAAAACGCATTTGAGGATGCGTTAACAAAGATGGATTAATCATTTGGCAGAAAAAAAAAAGAAGAAAAAAAGAAAAAAAAAGAAAACAGAAAAATGGTCTTCCTTTTGAACGTGTTTTCATGGAAGCAGTTCCCTCTTTAATGCAATCTCTGATCAGAGGAGTTTACAGCAATTCCTTGAAACTGTCACTTGCTGAACCCTTCCTGGTGCTGTCGCAAGCACAGTTTGTCTTCTTCCTTTGAAGAAAGCAATGTTTGAAGGGAAGAGAAGGACACAGCACTGCAGCACAGGAGAGTGTAGGGGCAGCTTGTGAGAGCAATGGTACAGATGACCCCAACCCAAGGTGATGGGATGCAGAACATGATGCTCAAGATCCCTTCTACCCGATTTTTTTCCCATGGTCTAAATGCTCAAGTATCCATCCTCCATTCCAGGAGCCCATCAGTGTGCTGATGATCTGACAGAGCAGAACTAGTGATTCCCCTCTCACAGCAGGCTGCTTGCAAAAGCAGTATGGTACTGTGGTAAGGCTGTTCGGTGATGTCGTAGGGTAGGATTGTTCAGTAGGGTTGTAGAGTTGTGCAGTAGGGTTGTACAGTAGGGTTGTATAGTAGGGTTGTGATAAATACACAACAGTTCTTCTTTTAACACTGTATTGACACTGGTGAGGCCGTACCTTGACTACTGCATTCATTTTGGCCCCTGACTACAAGGCCCTGAAGTGTGGCCAGAGAAGGGCAATGAAACCAGCGAGGGGTCTGGAGCACAAGTCTTAGAGAGAGCAGCTGAGAGAACTGGGATTTCTCCATCTGGAGAAGAGGAGGCTCAGGGAAGACCTTATTTCTCTCCACAAGTCCCTGAAAGGAGGTTGTGGTGAGGTGGGGGACAGCCTCTTCTTCTGAGTAACTAGCAATAGGAAGAGAGGGAATGGCCTCAAATTGTGTCAGGGGATGTTCATATTGGGTATTAAGAAAAAGAACTCTGGAAGAGAAGTCAGGCAGTGGAATGGGCTGCCCATGGAGGTGGTGGAGTCACCATCCCTGGAGATGTTCAAGAAACCTTTAGATGTGGTACTAAAGAGCACGATTTCGTGGGCAACATTGGTGGTTGGCGGGCGGTTGGACTGGGTGACATCTGAAGTCTTTTCCAAGCTTTATGATTCTCTGACTCTTTTGAGAGTGAAAACTGTATCCCTCATTTACACTGCGCAGTGACTGCAGTGTATTTATAGATCATAATCCCATGGACTGGGAAGCTGCACTGGCTGTTTGTAAAACCAGCAGTAAAAGCACACACATAACCCACGAGCATTCTACCTTATTCCCATGGACACGGAACAAAGAGAGACGAGGTGGGGCTGTGCTGTTGGGGTCCGCATGCGCAGAGGAAGACCCTCAGTGTGGGCACCCTGTGCCTGTGCAGGGTTTCTCCACGTGGCAGGGGTTCCTCCAGGGCCCCATCTCTAATTAACATGCACAGGGGCTGATTCTCCACTTTCCTGCTGTGACTTGCAAATCCCATCCATAAGAACTTGCCCAGATTTTCAAATGAACGCAGAGCGCACTTTTAAGCTTGAAGCCGTGCATTAGTCAGGCTCATTTGCCTACAAGCATAAAAGTCCCTTCCTATTTATCTCCTCATTTGAACTACATAAATAGCCCACAGCAAAAATCCCCATCTTGCCTCTATTCCAACAAATAGCAGCCTTTGAAAAAGAAAAATTAGTGGTGGGTAATTATTTTTGAGGCAGATACGAAAATGATAATTTCTTAAACAATTACTCTGAAATATTAACAATTGTTCTCTAAATTCCAATTTAATTCCTGATATGAATTATAGTTTGTCAGATCTGTGCTTCTGAAACATTTGTTCCTCGAAAAGAACATAAAAAACGCCAGCATAACCTTTTGCCTCCTCGCTCTCCACGCAGAGCAAAACGCCTGCGCTCTTGTTTTATCAACACAAATAATTAAAACACAAGAGAATGTTTGGGATTTGTACAGTTGTTCCTGGCATCTTATTCATATTTATTTGATCTGTAAGATATCATTTTAATTAAAAGCTCACTCTCTCTTCTTCCCTTCCTCCCCCTGCCCGGAGAATAAATTATTTATAATGCCCTCGCTGCTCCGTTCTGCAGACAGGCAGGGGGGGTTGGATGCTGGCAAGGAGATTTTCCCCCTGCATTAAAATAAAACAAAAATCATTTTCTTCTGCGTGAGGCTTATATTTGTTCCAAAACACCTCCCTGTTGGCACCCTCACCCAGAAACAGGAGAGCACTGGCCAGCATCTGGAGCACAGGCCCTACAATGATCCAATGACCCCATAGAATCGTTAAGGTTGGAAAAGACCCGTCAAATCCCCAAGTCCAACTCCAACTGCCTGCTGCCCCACAGCTCTGAACGCCTCCAGGCCTGGTGATTCCCCACCTCCCTGTGCAGCTGTGCAATGCCTCACTGCTCTTCCTGAGATTAAATTCTTCCCAGTACCCAACCTGACCCTGCCCTGGCACAACTCAAAGCCATCACCTCTTGTCCTATCACTCCTACTCTCACTGCCTCCAACCTCAGCCATTCTGTGATTTACCCTGTGTTAGGGTTAGTGTCCTTGCAAGCACGTTATTTAGAGGCAACAGGATCCCCCTGTTTGCACAGGAGAGCAGAAAGTGTCTCCAGCATGTAC